CCTTTTCGTGCAAAGGCTCAGCAGTTCACATCCCATGGCACCACCACTGACACCAGGATGTCCTTCCCACTGCCTCTTTTCAAAAGATACAGAAACATGGAAATTCTTCTTGCCATGACACCATTTTCTGTTCTCCTAGTGCTGGATAATCACAGGGACATCGGGAGATACCTGGGGTTACTTCCTTTAGCCTTTTCCACATAATTCCTAAATCTACTATTACTTTTCTAAATAGTTGACTTCTTTGAGCAACACTGCACTACAAGTTGTCAGCCTGAAAAAAACCTCAACATTCAAAGAGAACAAAAAGCACAACACTTGGGAAGAATTCTTTTCTTCTGCAAGCATTTCCAAACCCGCATGAGATCAGAAATAATCTTGCATGAAAAGACCAAATAAGCAGTTCTCACCATAATTTGTTACTATTCAGTTTTCGGACAATACAGAAATATCTTCATAATTCAAAAGCAAATAAGTTAATGCAAGAAAATTAATTCTCCCATATCCCTTCCTGTTCTATGTGCCAAACTGTTAATACCTCAGCATTTATCTTTCTGTGTTCCTGAACACTTTTCTGGCCCATGTCTAAGACTCCTCAGTGCTGCAGAAATGCCATTACTTCAACAACAAAGCAACTGGAAAGGTTTCAATATTCATGTTCTCCAAATATTCTGCATAGAGACGCAACAGTGATACAACCCTGGAATTCATAGTATTTCAAGTTGTACATGGAGTATGACACCGTTTATTTTTGAAGTTAATTCAGCTCTCAAATCACTGAGTTATTGATGCCTCAGGAATGTCAAAGGTCTTTTAAAAAGCTCTTCCATCCCAGCAAAAGCTCACAAATCAAAGGGTTGTGACAAAGCAGTGCAGTGAGCAGCACAAAGACCAGGGAATTGGCAGAGAATCGTGTTCTGCCCTTGGTCCCACCATGTTTAACTTGGACCAAGCAGGATCTAGTTTGCATTAGGCTCACAGTTCTCATCCTGTATTTGAATGGGCAAACAATGCAATAAATTCATTAAGATAGGTTTGTTCAGACAAATAAAATGTAGTGGTGTCATTTCTGTGTTCCCTTTCCTTGTTGTGCTGCCATGACTGCTCAGAGGGTGAAATGCACCACTGTGGGTGAGCACTCCCAGGCAGCAGAACTGCCTGCATCAGACAGAATGAAAATATATAAAAAGACACAATCCAGTCTGGAATATTACAAAAATAAGCCCAAAGTCCTTCAACAGCACTGATCTATTGAAATGTACAAAGAAAAAGTTACCTCACACAGGATCAACATTGAAATAAAACAAATATATTCAGCATTACAGAAATTAACAGGATTGCTGCAATTAGGAGTAAATTTTCATCATAAATCACACCACAGCAATGTTTAGCAAACTTTAATAGTTCTTCTTTTTAAATTCAGATGATCTACAATCTTTGTCACTTTGAAGGTCACGTGTGATTGATATCATTCCTTTTGGGGTTTTTAAGAGTCTTTAGACAACCTTATAAAACCCACTTGCTCTTTTTTCCAAGTCCTCTGACTTTTCAGTTTTCCTGCCTCTGGTCCACCTACACTTCTGACATAGTTATTCTCAATTTTTAAAGGTCTAATTCTCATCTCACTAAAATTAATGAGAAAAAAAATTCAGCAAGAGCTGCACTAGACCACTACCATGCAATGGTATTGAGCACATTTAGGTACCCAGCAAACTAACAAATAAAGCATGAAGCAAAATGCAAACTCACTCTGCTGTGTCTGGTTTGTACTTGTTTATGCTGATTTACACTTCCCTTCTTTCAGACTTCAGTGTGGTGACCAGCACAGAAGGGATGAAATACACATTCTGGCCCAAAAAGCATTTTCCTGCAGTACTTCATGTGAGTTGAAATGCTTCTTTGTTTGGTTTTATTTCATTTGATTGTGTTTGTTTCTTTGTTTTTTATTAAATCTAAGCAAAGTCTTTTCAAAATAAATTACTCTGTAACATGTTCTGCTGCAACTTAAAAAAAAAAAAATCATGCTTTTGAAAATCATTCCACTGCTGAACAGTATCTCAGCTCCCATAGAAATAATATATAGGAATGACACAAAATACCTCAACAAACAGGGATTGCTGCTTTGCTTTTAATCATTGCTTTATGTGACATGACAGATTATGTTTCCCTGAGAGCTTCCAACAGCCTGAGTTTATTCTTCAGAAGTCACCTGCAAAGCATACTTCACAGCACCTTGATCACTAACAATGCCACCTTCTCTTCAATTAAGTAAAAATTCAAGCATGGCACTTCAATACACCTTTACAGTTCTTTGAGCCTGCCCACTGAATCAATACTCAAGAAGAGAAAAAGAAGTCTCAGTAGAAAGTTGCCTTGGCACTCAGCATTGCCAAGGCCTTTTTGAAGAGTTATTCTTTGGCACAGTGGTTTCAAGAAGAAAATAGTTATTATTCTCTCCATTTCAGAGTGCAAAAACAACTAAGCAAACTACCTGAGCAGAAAAAACAAAGAAAACCAAAATAAGTGAGGCTGATGTTGAACTCAGATTCAGTTAGTTTGGGATCTTTCTGTCAATTTTTCCTTTTCTGACAGGAAACAAGGATTGGTAAAAAATAAGTTTTAATGCAGATGCAGTGAGAAGATTTAATCAGTTCAGGATGGCAATTTTAGTTAGAAAGAAATGTAAAATGACATCCAAATTCAGTACTGCATTCTGTTTGATATACAGCTGAGGCTCCAGCCATTGAGTCAAGTGTATCTGAATGACCATCCTTAGATGGAGACTTTCTTCTGACAATTGCTTTTTCACAACACATGACTGAAAGTTTTATTATCAAGTTGAAGACAACAGCTGAAAATCTCTAAAATGGGAGGTCATTTTTCATCCCCCCTGCTCAAATATGTGTTTACTTTTCAGTTCCAATCATTCCACTAGATCATTTTTCCTCCAACGATGATGTGATAATCTCAATCTATGTCCAAAACACACATGATACCTAAAGAAACCACAAATTCAGATCTGTGGAAGCACTGTCTGGGAGCTTCATTGGGATTTTAAAGGACTGATTTAAGTAAAATGTGGGCTACAATAAGGAAATAGTAATCTTTTCCCACAAACTAGGCAAAATCCTGAGAGATCTTTTCAACACTTTGTAGCACAGTACTGCAAACACCTGAATCCCTTCAGATCCCAGTGCAGTGTCACCCTGGAATGGGAGAGCTGGTTCCAGCAGATGGAGCTCCAGAAAGGCAGTGAGGAGCCAGCACCGAGAGCTCCAGCAGCTTCAGTAACACCGACTTTGGGGACAACCTGCCCCGCCTGGAAAATTCACCAAGCTCCCTCCTGCTTCTAAATGTTTCTGCACACGTTGTTCCCCACGCTCAGAACTTCCTGAAGCACAATGCAACTGCAGTCCCTCAGCCTGTTTGTCAGTGCAAACACAGCACCTGGAGGTCATTTAATGGTATCATTTAACATCATTATTGCCAACACACAGCCCACCTCTCCAGCCTGGAGTTAAAAAATAATTTTAAAATTGCTGGGCCATCTGTTAAAGAATTATCAAGACAGAGCACAGCAAAAAAATTATATAAAGCTCTTAAAAACTACAGAATCATAGAATTCACAGGGCTGGAAAGGACTTTGAACATTATCTCATTCCATACCTGTGCTGTGGGCAGGCACACCTTCCACTACACAAAGTTGCTCAGAGCCCCATCCAACCAGACCCTGAGCACTTCCAGGTAGGGGTTATATATATAAATACTAATAGGTCATTTTCGATCATTAGCAAGTGTAGCACTCTAGATTTTTAAATCCCACAGGACTTTGCTGCTTTAAATGCCACTAGACCACCTCCTTTGATCTCTGTAATAACTCTAATATCAATGCCACCAAAAAAGAACACTATTGTACAGCTTCTATAATGTAAAGTTCACAAAATGGTTTTTCCCATCTGGTTTCTTCAGCAGAAATAAAGCCTCAGGTAAATGTTTGATGTTTTCAACTTTAAGATAAAGGGAAAGTGTGCAGCCAGAGAGAGAGCACACCACTGCTCCAAACACCTGATGAAGAGCCATGAACAGAGCCATCACTACTCTTCTAAGGAGCAGTTTGCTGACTTCCCCAACAACTGCACTCTTAAAAGCTTCTACTCCTGCACAGATGATTAGAAATGTCTTATGTCAAATACAGAATCCACAAGCCGACCTTTAACGCAGCCATGTCTACAATTTAACACCCGTCATCATGGGGGAAGAATGTTATTTGCAGAATGATTCAGCTTTGAAGAAACAACTCTCACACGCACACAATGGAAGTTTATGTATTTTAGGGGCATTGGGAGTGCACACCTGGAATGGAGAAAGTTATCCACCTGCAGTTCCCTCTTGAGGTATTGAGTTACAGGGTAAAGAACAGCCCTTCGCTGTCAAGGTGTGTTGCAAGCTGCACAAACAGGAGCTCAAGCAAAAGGACCTGGTCTTCCACAGACGTGACACGCTCTTCAGGAACCCTTTGAAGCCTAAAGGCAATTTGCGTATAACTACTGAAGGGCTGCTGCGCAGGTATGTAATTAGCTCAAGCTAATGCTCTCGTCTAAGAAAAAAAGAAAACCCCCTCAAAGTGCAAGAGCCAGTTTGTGCCTGCACAGCCGGCACAGGTGGGCACAGCGGGGTCAGCCCGGTGGCCGGAGCGGTCGGTGGGGTGGCCCGCTCGGTCCCGGCCCGCTCGGTCCCGGCCTGGGCAGCCCTTGCCCACGGGCCGCAGGCGGCTCCGGCTCCGGCCCCAGCCCCGAGCAGGGACCCGGGGGCCCGACCTGCCCTCAGGGGCTGCAGCGCCCAGAACCCCACCGCCCTCACACCCCTCACACCGTCCCGCGGCCGGACCCTCCGCTCCGGCCGCTCCTCCCGCCCGGGCCGGAGCATCCCCAGAGCCCGGTGAGGCGGCGCTGCCCCCGGAGACCCCCGGCCCGGCTCCCCGGCCCGCCCCAGCCGCGTACCGAGCACCGGCGCTGCCGGCCGGCTGGGCGTCCATGGAGGCGTCGCGACGGGCAGCGGCTGAGGGCAAGGCGGGAGGGCGGCGAGCTCGGCTGGTGCTGCTGCTGCTGCTCCCCGGCGGCCGCCGCAGCCCGCTCGCATGGTGTGTGTGGAGCGGCGGCAGCCGGAGCCTCGGCGCATGTTCGGGCAGGGCCGGGCCGGGCCGGGCGGAGGGGCCGCCCCCGCAGGTGAGCGGCTGCGGCAGCGCCCGCCCTCCGCCGGCGGCGGGGATGGGATGGGATGGGGTGGTAACGGGGATGGGAGGGCACCAGGGGAATGCACTGCTGCCCCGGGGTTACGGTCCCACCGCAGCGCTCGGGCGGGACCCGGGCGTGTCGCTCCGCAACGGGAACGGCCCAGAGGAACGCGGGCATCGCTTGTGTGTGCTGGAATTAAGAGTTATTAATTCCTCTCGAGAAAAAGCATGAGGAAAACATAATTCATATTTCGCCAGGTTTTCAATTAGCTGCACTCTGCAGCTGCTGCCAAGGCAGGGTTTGCCAGGGTGCAGCCCCCAGCACAGGAGTCAGCGAGTTGTATCACAGGAGGAACACCCCACAGGGCTTAGACATCAGAGGGACCAAGTTATGACCAAAACACATAAATAAATAATTAGATCTAACTAATTAAATTCTTTCATTTGTTAATTAACATAAAATTAATAAACAAAATAAATATTTACAATTTTAACTTGCCTCTTCCATGAAAGAAAACCAAACCCACTGAAATTGCAAATAGAATATGCAATACCGAAAAAAAATTGCATTACTTTGGCGATTATTTAAGTTATAGTCGTCTCAATCATGCAGCTTCAGGGTTACGGGGATAACAGTTCAGAGGAGATTAACAAAAGAAAGGAGCCTGTGCAAGGAAATGAACAAGGCAAAGGAAGGCAAAGGTATACACGGCCGAGGGAGTGGCAGGACAAACAGAAGGACTGGGTTGACATAAAGAAACAATGGGCACATTAACGGGAACAGTGGGTGTATAAGGTTAAAAAAAGAAGGGATTTATTAGCTGCACACCGACAATGCGGCTCGTGACGTGAGGAACAAGGGGTGGGTGGCAGGACGGGCTCACGCTCCAGCGCTCGGGGTGCAGCTGCTCCCAGGGCAGAGCCAGACATCCAGGGACTGAGGATGATTCCCTCTTCTGACACCAGCCAACAAGTCATGATTGTCTCCACTAAATCAAGCGTTTTAGCTCAGTGAGGGATAGCAAAAAGAGTTGTGACAAGCACCTTCCCGTGCTTTCTTTGCCAAAAGAGCTGTTTTGGTACAAATGCAAGCCCACGTTTTCCAGCATAAAACACCTGTTTACATACATTCCATTTTCTGGACTGTGAGGCTCATACATTCCAGCTCCCAGCGTTCACAATGAAGCCAGACCTCCTGTGCAGTTCTGCACTTCAGCCCATTGTCAGTAGCCAGTCACAGCTAACTTAAAGAACATTTTTATTAATAAAAACACCAAAATATACTCTAAATTGCTTTTTACAACTTTTAGAATTATATGTTGTAAGAACAAAGTTTAAAAAGTTAAAACAGAAGGACAAATTTGCTCCCCTGAGCATAGTATTGTAAACTTGAGAAGAGCTCTGCTTTTAATATCTGACAGTAAAATAAAATAAATATTTCAAGTTAAATGGATAGCATATTAAAGAAAATTAGAGAATTTAAATATATGAGTTTAACATTCAACAAGTACTTTACCTTTTTCAGGATTCAGGGTCAGTGATTTGAACCTCAACTGAGTTAGTTATTCAGTAAAAATTATTACTGAATGTGGGCCCAAAATGAGATTCACACTCCAAAATCCTCAGAAATGTTTGGAACTCAAGGACCCTAATTTTAAAAATAAGGAGGTTAAGTAAGTATTTAAAAAATTCTACAAGGATTTTACGTAAAAACCCACTGAGTCTTTTAAAATTACTTTTTTCTTTGTAAGTGACCACACCTGTTCATGTAGCATCTCAGGAGAGACTGCATTCTATGGAAAACCATCCTAAAGATCTTCTGGCTTTGAATACAAACATTTCAGTGCTACATAGTCTCAAGAGAATAAACAGTAATTCTGGCCACACAGGAAAATGAGTCTGTGTGGATCAGAGAGAGCTGGCACATGCAAACCTGAGAGAGCTGACAATTTGCATTGTTAACAGGATCTCTTGCCAGGACAGACCTCTGAAGTCAAAAGCAAGAATTTCTCCCTGTATTACCAGCAAAATAAACCCTCAAACATCTTGTATAAAACAGCACTTCTGTTAAATTTTTTATTTATTTCTAGTTATTTGTATAGTCCTGTATAGGACTGCTTACACCAACAGAGAAAACACCTCATAACTTTGATCCTATCTACAGGATACAAAAGTAAAATGGGACAAAATTCCTTTTACTCTGCACAAGGTTGTGTTTCCAGATTAGAGCAGTTATGTAATAACTGTGAGACCTGTTATCACTTACAGAACAGGAAATGGCTTTGCATTAAGTGGTTTGTCCATATTCACTTATTAAATCAGCAAGAGATAACCAGAAACAACATCCTGACCTCCTGAACACACATCCAAAAAATGCAGCATTTTCCCCCTCTATCACCTGCTGTAAAAACTAATGCTCTTTGTTTTCAGTTAAAATCTAAAGTCCAGGCAGCTCCAGATGTCTCCATTTTGGCACCACAGGAATTCTGAAGTATTCTGAGCAAGGAATGGGAATGCAGCTGCTGTTATTGATGTATGTTTTGCTACTCCTCGTTTCTTTAAAGAGCTTGTGGATAAAAATGACCTCTGTTTCAGGATATTACTGACTGATGGCTTGTCAGCTGAGGAATTACAAGTTCCTTCCCACCTTTTCTGAGATAACATTATGCTGTCTTCCCTCCCTTCCTCTTTACTTCTGTGCCTTTTCTAATTTAAGTCTCGGAGGTCCCTGCAAACACAATTCTGCAGAGAATTCAAGAGTTCAATAACATTAACATGGGCAACTAAACTCCACTCTGCCTACCACAAAAAAACAAAAAAGATCTTTCATTAGGCAAAATCACTGTTCTCTTCCTTCTTGCAAGAAAAAATGGATGCATCTGAAAGCCAGTCTTCATGTTCACTCTGGTCAACAACAGAATTAAATTCAAGAGTATTCAATGACACGATATAGAATTCCATAAGAAGAAAACAGGACTTTGGTTGCCAATATTTTGAACAAATATATTACTTTCCCAACCTTACCCTCTGTTATCTAAATCTGGTTTAATCTAAATTACCATTCTGTCAGTATTGTAAACACAAAACCATGAGTTTGCACATCCCTGCACACAATGACTTAGAAGATTCAGGCTAAAGCACAATTAAAACACTCCAATACTGAAGTCATAAATTTACTAAATATTCAAATTCTGAAACAGACAATTAAAACTTAGGTAGGCAAATGAAAGTGTTGAGAAGTTACTGGGGAAATAACACAAGACAACACAATTCTGCCACTGGATCCTGTTCCTGTGAAGGTGACCCATGGCAGGTGTGAAAGGTGGCAAAGGCCACAGACACCAGGCTGCAGTCAGGACACCTCACACTGCATTACATTCACACAATGCTTCACATCTCACAGCACCCTCTGGAAAAAACAGGCAAACAGTTCACATTTATGTACTTAAACTTTATTTCTTCATAATTACAGGCTATTGTTAGAATTTTTAAACAAAAGGGAAGTCTATAAATAGAGGCTAATCCCACCTGAACAAGTTGTTTAAAAAAAAAAACCAACAAAACAAACAGTTAAAACTTCATAAAGTAATGCCATTTAGCTCACAGCAGTGGTTTGTTGGTAGTCTGAGTAAAAGTCCTATAGTCAGAGTCAGTAACATGAAATGTAACATCAAATGACTCAAAACTTTAAATCCCATAAAGGAAAGCAGGAATATATATATAATATATACATATAATATTGTGTTGGTCCACTGAGTATACATTTTTAACAAAAGATAAGAAACTATGTAATCCAGTTAAGCATATGATTTGCAAGATTAGTGTACACTCATTACAAAGATGTATAAGATAAGTTATAACTATTTAATACTTGCAAAATTTTAAGTTACTTTTTTTTTTTTGAGCAGGTGTTTAAATGCTCATCTCCCAGTGCAAAAGAAAAACCATCCCAGTCAGGTTACTCATTTTTTCTTGAAAAATTGAAAACCCCCTCAAAGTCGTGCAACAGCAGCATTGACAGGTAATGGGAAGAGCTTAAATATACTGAAGTTCTCCCCCTTTGCCCCAGTGCTTCGTGATGAAACACTTCAATTTCCTCAAAAGAAATACCACAGGTTAAAAGTGCAAGAAAAAAAAAACCCTTCTAGATGTTTATGCTGCTGCCATCCATTTTTCTTAGATAGGGCACAAGATTCTTGTTTTTTGGAATTATTTTAATGAAACTGATTTTCCAAATAGAATTCATTCAAAATGAACAATAAGTTATTTTCATTAAGTTATTTTCATTAACATTCTATCAATCCTACTCTGACTCAGTGACCATTCAGAAATCATTCAGTTTAAGGTGCAACTATCAGTTGGCATTCAATAAATTACATATACAGAAAACAACTGTGGTTAAAAAAAATAGAAATCAGACTACCTGTTTTTTCTTTCTATTTTCAATCCTATCTCAAATGGAACTCATTAAGTTGCCAGTTCAGCTGCATATTTCACAGGCAAATGTGGCTCAAATAGCAGTGGGGTCTCACAATTTGACAGTCACCTTAGCCAACAGCAAATGCACATGAATTTTCAGTTTAATTGCTTTATAAAACAAAATAACAGGTCTGTCTTAAAACTTATGATCATGCAGGAAAAGCAAAAAAGGTTTCAGAAAGACATACTCTTTCTGATGGAGATTTCATGAAGATTATGTTAAACCCAACATAAAATCTTCAATGAGGACAAAAAGAATCTATATGCATACATATAAAATAAAGCACTCTCCAACTCTGGCATTACTAAAACCCGTTCAGAAGAAGAAAAGGTTTCCAGTGACTAACTGCTTGAT